TTGATACCTACTAGGCAGCTGTGTTAAAGGAATGATGCTAATAACTAGCGTAAGGCAGTAGGAGATATACTTGATTATCCTTTCCACCAAGATCGTCAGTCTAACAAGGGGACCCATACTTCAACACCAGAGCATTGTCTATGAGAAACAGAATTATACTAGACATTATGGTCAAATTGCTATGCTGCTACTACAACCAGTTCATTGATGGCTTCTACATCTTCCCTTTTACGACCCCGGAGTCTAGTTTTTCTGAATGTTCCTGCTTTAACTCCTAACTACTGTTTTTATGACATCCCTCTGCTTCGGGTCATTGCTGCTTGCTGGTACGCAATGGCAGGAACGTTCGCTTTGCTCGAATTCTTCATCACCTTTCCTTAGGTCCAGACATCTCCTCTCCATCAGCAGCATTACTGTCTGAATAGCTTCTATCAATAGCCTTTCCAAAAACCGAGCACATCATTATGCCAATAATTAACTACAAGAAAAGAAAGAACGCTAGTTCCACTGCATTCCCAACGGTAGATCACCCAAAGGTGCATCTTGGATCCAAATCATCCATGATATGTCCAGATATACCTCAAAGTCCGATTCTAGGGACTCCTATCAAAGATCCACTCGTATTTTTAGACGGATCAGCGGCGGCAAAGTTACGACGTGGTAGTGCAAAAATCCTTTCAATCTTAAGAATAGCAAGAGGTAAGTTCTTCCCCGTATTTTCCTCTTACACTAAGAGATAAAGAGCTGACGTGTACAAAAAGGGCGATCAACTATTGAGAACACTGCGTATATGACGCCAACTCCCCGTCCGAGCCCCAACATTTCACCCTTGGTGGAAACTCCACCAAATTCACCGCCAAAACGCAGTGACTATCTAACGGGAGTCGAGAACAGTCGCCCCCCAAGTGACTACTCAATATCTGCTGCAAATGTCCTGACACCTCCATGTTCTCCGGATAGAGCTATCACATTTGATGGCCCGTCAGAGCGAGTCTTCCCAAGTGGACAGGGTCAGCATCTCCACCGAAGACTCAGTATCAGACCAGCAAAGTCTGTCCCGATACTTCCGCATCTGAAGCTCTCGCCACTATCGCAAGCTACAATCTTACGTAGGCGACGTCATGATGTGGATCCTGAGAATCGTATTGACCAAGTGGAAAACAACACGCAACCTTCTACAGAGCCTTCCGGGAACAACCTTAGTACTCAACCGACAAGCAGTTTGATTTCCACTGCACCCACCTCAGTGTCAGAGGTTACTGTCGCTAGATTGGGGAGTGCGAAGACCCCATCCCCCCCTATACGCTCTGGACCAGGTGATGACGATCTCCTTCCTTCCACTCACTGGTTTCTCAGCCAACAGGATCTGAACGCCGAATTGAATCCATCTATTACGACGCTAGAGACCGCGGCTGCAGCTAAGATCTATTTCGAGACTTACTTCAACAAGGCCCTTACCAGACGACCCTTTCCTCGTACCCAAAGACGCATCGATTTCGAGCGGTCGATGTGTCTTCTAGCCTATACCGATGGTGAATATCAAGATGGTCTTAGCAAGTGGATCCAACTGGAGAGTGAATATCTACGCGAGATACGGGTCATGCAAAGCACGGCTTTAATTAGACATAAGAAGAAGGGGGTATCTATTGCTGGGTATGAGGTTATTCGAATCCTGGGTAAAGGCAGTTTTGGGGTTGTAAAACTCGTCCGAGCAATATCAACGCCGGACTCCTGTCACACAGCTGAACTGATTCCAGAACGGCTTCCCACAAATCAAGTCGAACCACACTCCAGAGATTTGTCCAAGCTGAATGGAAAGATGTTCGCTATGAAAGTGATCCGAAAATCTGAGATGTTGCGGAATTGTCAGGAAGGTCATCTCCGTGCGGAGCGAGATTTTTTAGCTGCCTCAGAAAAGTCACGTTGGGTAGTCCCACTCATCTGCAGCTTTCAAGACAGTACAAACCTGTATCTCGTCATGGAATACATGGTCGGCGGTGATTTCCTCGGTTTACTGCTCAGAGAAGAAGTTTTAGAGGAGTACGTTGCCCAATGGTATGTTGCGGAGATGGTATTATGTCTTGAAGAAACTCACAAAATGAGGTGGATCCATCGCGATGTCAAACCAGACAATTTCTTGATCAGTTCCTCTGGCCACCTCAAGATTTCTGATTTCGGACTAGCCTTTGACGGGCATTGGTCCCATCACCAAACATATTTCAACAATCAGCGGTACACCCTTATGGAGAAGTTCGGCATCAAGATCTTAGGCGATGAGCAAGATGTTGTCGAAGACCAAACCAAAGAGCGACAGAGAGCTCTGGCCAATATAATCAACGAGGGACTGCCAACTGAAAAAGACGTTCCTGGCCATACCAATCTATACGCACCGAAGGATCCTGTGTTAAATTGGCTTAACCGTACACAAAACAGAAAATTCGCCAGAAGTGTAGTTGGGACGAGCCAGTACATGGCCCCTGAAGTGATTAAGGGAGACCACTATGACGGGAGATGTGATTGGTGGAGCATTGGTATAATCCTCTACGAGGTATTTTTGATGACACTCCGTGGTGACGAGACATTTGAGGCAGGCTGTTGTTTGTATGCGCACTTGCTAAACGGATTCTAGTGCTTTTACGGATCAACACCGTTTTACTGCGCCAACAGGGCTGAGACAAAAGCAAGAATACTCGTAAGCTCTAAGAAATCACAAAAACGCAACTGAGTGAGCTCATGTTACTTTAGTACCATCATAATCAGTTGGCATTTCCGGAAGGTGTCAGATTTGCACGACCGCAAGCCGAAAACATTCCTCTACCGCCAGCATCGGAGGATGCCATTCATCTCATATCCTGCCTTATACAAGACAAGGAGCTACGTCTATCATCCAACTACTATCGAGACAACGACCATGCTGTAAAGGGACGTCCGACGAGATACGCCATGTCGGTGACATCCACCAAATTCGTCCACCCAGATGATTCGGATGACATCAAGGCTCATCCGTTCTTCACTGGGATCGACTGGGAGAGACTCCATCTCCTCCGGCCACCATTCGTCCCGCGCGTCAAGGACAATCAATCCATCACCAAATACTTTGATGATGAAGATGAGATCATGGGTGACGCAGCGATCAGCGAGTCAAGTTCCTCAGACGATAAAGAGAATATAGACCCTGCTCAAGAGGAGTCTGCTTTAGGCGCAATTTTAGCAGCTAAGGGAGCAGATCTCGTAACCGGCGATGCAGCTGTAGTCAAGAAAAGGAAGGACAAGAAACGGCCCAGAGATAAGATTCTGAGGGACCCTAACCTTGCACCGGAGGTGATGAGAGCGCGTAAGAGGAGTGCTTTTGTAGGGTACAGTTATCGTAAACCGAAGACCTCGATGCAGGAGGAGCTGGGGATTTTCGACTACTCAATGTTTACGGCGCCTCCTGATGCATGGCTTTGACGGTCTATACGCCGCTGCAGATCAGTGCGCGGTCTAAGGGGTGTAAGTGGCAAACCAAGGAAACTAGAATGCTTGTTTAGACACAAGAGTAAACCGGCATCCATAAGGTATTGGCTAGGGAAGTAGTAGAAGATAGAACTACTACTCAATGTGCTCAATTCAAATTGTTACACAGAATAGAGTTTCCTTTCTCAATGAAAAAGACTATTATCATCAAATTTCATTTATTGTTTTCGTTTTCACACCGAGATCCCTTCGTATATCAAAATAGGCGAACATGCATTGAACCATTATTTTATCCAACCAACTGAAGTCTTCCCAAAGCGAATGCAACCACGCTAAACCCTCAACTCCACTTTGGGAGCAAACAAAAATGTAGTAATGTAGTAGTGATCTCTACTTGAAGCAGAAGGTGACTGATAGGTTGACGTTTTGACTTAATGGCCGAGAATAAATGAGAAACTCCGCAGACGGCGAGTATCTTGAAAAAGTACTCTGCAATACTACATCTCCCAAGAAAGATGAAGATGGGGGAGCTCTAGACTCGATGACCTAGGTAGTTAGCATTGGTATATAAATCTGGGAACTGGCCTGGGTCTCGAGAAGAATCGCAATTGACTTTAAGTCTTACTATTCAGAACTACTGCAAACCTTCAAACGAACAAGGCATCGCAAGATGAAGATCACTCTCCTCGCCCTAGCAACATTGCTTGCCTCTGCAAGCGCTCAAAGCTGCAAAGCCATCCGCATCAAAGATGAAAGAAACTTTCCGCCTCTCACGCCCCTCTGCTCCGACAGCCAAAAGGTGGGCGACCAAGACGAGTCGGATAAGTGCTCCAAGTCGCATGGCGAGTCGTGCTACAAAGTCGTTTCCGCGACGGATACTAGATGCAACCTGTATATCTACGGAAGCGACGGTTGCGATGAAGGTGATACGCTGCTAAACAAGATCCCTTGTATCCAAGGGCAGTCTTGGTATTTCGGCGGGAAGGC